AAGAATATGCAATAAAAAAAAGTTACATTAAATTGATTAAAATGGCAATTATAAATATTTTACCTCGTCGGATAGATTTTGACCGCTTCGAATGTTCTCCCTTGCTTTTGTCAAGGCATTTCTCCATTTCCCTAACTCTTTATTCAGAATTTTTCATCTACTAGACAAGGCCATTTCGGTCCGAATGGAACCCGATCTTTGACAAAATTCTCCATGATTTTGCTCCACATATGATGGAACTTCATCTCATTGCCCGTGATAGGGTCATGACTAACGTTCACCCAAGACTGACACAACGCAATATCTTCCTGAATTGCCCACGAGCCTCCGGCTTCGCCAGAAGATGCTATTTGTTTGTTTGTTTTTTTTATACAAATGGAAAGTAGTAGAAAAATGTGAGTGGAGAGTAAAAAATATTGGAAGGAGAAGAGTTTGTATGGAGAATTGGTGTGGAAAGTGAAAAATGTGAGTGGAGAGTAAAAAATGTTGGAAGGAGAAGAGTTTGTATGGAGAATTGGTGAGGAAAGTGAATAATGTGAGTGGAGAGTAAAAAATATTGGATGGAGAAGAAATTGTATGAAGATTTGGTGTGGAAAGTAAATAAAATGGTTAGGTATTTATAGGGAAAAAATACAAAATTTTTTGGTATTTTTAAAAAAAAATTTCAGAATTTTTTCGATTTTTTTGGCAATTTTTTAAGACAAAAAAACGAGGACCGTCAGATTTCTGGAAAAAAACCGATCGGAGAGTCCCGGTTGCGACACGTGTCACATGCCCGTTGGAGTCTTTCAGGGGCGACATTAGTGCACGGAAGTCAAATTTTTTTACCGTTGGCGCGTGAATTACACGCGCCAACGGTAAAAAAAATTTGAATTACCGCGCGATGACATTAGCGTTGACGTCACCGCCCTCGGGCTGAAGCCTTGGCGAAACCTGCCCTTGGGCTTGCCCGGGCTTGTTGTCGCGCGCTGGAGCTCCCTTGGGCTTGGTCGGGGGGCCCTTTGCCCGGGTTACTGGCAGCGCTGGAGTTGCTCTTAGTCAATTATTGGCTTATTATTATTACAGAAGAGAATGGTCAATTGAAATCAACTCCTACGAGGCTGCTAACGTCATTGATTATGCAACTCTCAACTCCCATATTATTTGGGCTTATTTATGGATATGCCCCATGCGCTTTCAGAGTAGTCTCAAATTACCACATGTTCTTTGAAATGTCTCAATATACCACCTACACTTTCATTAAGTGTCTCACGTAAGTGATTCCGTCAGATTTGATAGAAGTTTCGTTAGCTGATGTGGCCCCCACTTCTTCTCAATCTCTTAACAAGGGAGAGGACGGGTTAGTCAGGTTGAGAAAAGGGGGAATTTGGGAGAAGAATGTTAGGGTTTAGGAATCTCTG